AAAAAAAAAAAAAAAAAAAAAAAAAGTCCCTCTGAGAGGCTCCGCGCTCCCCCGGCCTGTCACCCCCACCTCTCTTCCCACTGTGTTTGCAGATGTGGGTGGCTGTGCCCGGCTGTCTGTTCACGTGTGAATTCATACTTCTTTCATCTTGTGACATAAGAAAGAGTCTTCTCCATTGTAGGCCGTACAGCTGAACATACAGAGGAAGTTAGTAAGCTGAGTAAAACGGCAACAAAGCAACAGGCTTCCCTGTTTCCAAAAAAACGGATGATGTGATCTTAAGAACCACAGTAGCCCTGACGCTGGCAAGTGGGTGGGTGTTCCCCACCTGGAGGGAGCAGTGACTCCCCCACCCCCACCCCCACAGCCCTCATCCTAAACGGGGGTGCCTGGATCAACGGGTGGGTGACTGCCCAAATGAGCGCTCAGGGGCCAGGACAGGAGGATGGGAGGCGCCCTCCCATCAGGCAGATGGAGCTCAGGATGGCGGTGCCAGGAAAGGCAGGGGGACCAGCACGCAGCGTGAGAAGACTCAAGGCCAGGCGTGTCTTGAGGGCCGGGAGATGCTAAAGCGTGTCCTCTACGGCCTCCACAGGGCGACCAGCACAGCTGTGGGAACGTGGCAACGAGAGGCACGTGGCCAGAGTCGTGACACGCTTTAGGAAGTGCTTGTTAATAGAAGACTGTAAAGTTAGTTGCACTTCTAGAATATTCTAACTGCCTTACTATGAACTTTATGTACAAAGGACTCAGGAGACACACAAGTGACACCGAGAAGCCCATGTGCGCTGCCTCCGGCCCCGGTCAGTGATAGCCGCCCGTTGGCCGGGCCTGTCTGAACCGAGCACAGAGCAGCTGTGTCTCCCCCGTGGCCCGTGGCCCAGCACCTCGTCTCCGAGGATGCGCATTTCAGATGCTCTGATGTGGGGTCCCAGTCATGTTTCCTGTGACCTGTGACAAGCAGGGTCTCACTCGGGCGCAGTCCTGGGAGTGGGTCGCGGGTCCCAGGGCCATGTGTGTGCCCTGCTGGCATGCCCCGTGCTTTCCTCAGTCAGGCCCTGTCCAGGTCGGGGTCTCACAATTCCCAAGTCTCCACTGGACGGCCTTGCAGTAAATTCAACGTCTTCTGTTCTCAGTGATGCAAACCATCCCCATGTCAGATAGCCGATGGCCCTGGAGGCTGTGCAGAAGTCCAGCTCCTTCGCCCGTTCCCTTCTGATGGATGACGCTGCAGGTCTGTGCTGAAGCCAGGAGGCTGGTGCATGTGGCCTGTTGCTCCTCCGACCCCACTCCCTGAGATCATCAAACCCCTTGGCTAGGTGGCCCAGGGAGCCCCACCCTCTGCTGTGGTGACCAGGGTGAGTCAATTTCTTGGAACCTAACATGCCTGAGGAGGACAGAGGCCCTCGAGGGCCCAGCGTGGTCCAGACAGGACTCCCAGCCCCTCCTGGACTTGTCTCGTCTCCTGCCCTGGGCTCTGGCCAGGCTGAACTGCCCGCTGCAGCCCCTCCACCTGCCCTGCACTGTGACATCTGCACATCTGTTCATGCTGGTCCCCCACTCCCTGTGGCCTCCTGGCTTTCCTCAGGAAACCAGATCATGTATGACCTGGCGTGGCCCCAGAGCAAAGGGCAGCAGTGATGCCCGCTGACGATTCTAATAGCTGTGTCATGACTTAGTGCTGGGGCACAGGCTGGAGTTTTCTAGAAACGCAAGCATTCTGGAAGCATTTCTGCGCCTTCCAGAAAGTATGAATTAAACATTTAACTGCCCTGGTCGTGTCCTAAACAATGGTGATGGTGACTAATCCCTGTGCTAATTCTCTATGGTACTTTGTGGAGCTTTTTATACATGGAAAGCTTCTCGATACTTCCTTTCTGTTAAAAATAACTAATTCTGTTTGTCATGCACACTGGCGAAAAGAAACTTCTGGCATTCCGCTCTCCCAGCTAGGAGTACATCCTCTGCCCACGATTTTGTGCCACCCGAGTTTTGCGTTAGTGAGGGAAGGAGTTAGGACCTGTGTTTTGTGTAATGCAAATGAAAGTACTTTATGTGTTCCCTTGTTTTCACTATGTCTTTGGGCATTTTTTGCCAGCTTGTTGTGCCTTCTTTCAACAAGACTCAGAAGGACGGGGTGGGATGGGGCAATGGAAGAGAGGCCTCTGCCCTGAACCAGCCATCAGGGGTTCCAGCCCAGATTCAGACCTGAACTCTTTCAAACATCAGTGCCCTGTTAGCCTAGCTGACAGATCTTGGGTGCGAAATCCTGGTTTTCCTATTGTAACAACTAATAAAATCAAGTCTTTGGAGCTCCTTAAAGATACAACTATGGAAGTGATGATGTGACAGTATTAACAGCTGACCGAGAGAGGACATGGTCGACTTAACTGAGTCCACACAGGATGCTGTGCACAGTGCTGGACCCCCCGTGTCACCTGGAGAGAGGAGGGGACGGAGGGAGACCCGCATGGGACCGGGTGGGTGAGGGGGACATTCTAGAACCAGCCGAGTCTATTCAGCCACAGTTCGGCTCCCCCCTCCACTCCCCCCACCCCAAATGTGCAGGCCCTCCGCTGTCTCAGGTTTTGAAAGAAAATATTTCCTCCGGAAGCAAACACTAAGAATAAGAAAACTCTTAAAAATAGGAATTCAAACTAAGTTAAATACAAATCTGAGTTGTTTCAAGGTAAGACTTAGAAAATATCTGCGTTTGCTTTCACTTTGAATGAATTAGGCGTTTATAAGCCAGAGTGGACCTTCCACGGAGTTACCGCTGGACTGTTCGGGGTGAGGAAGTGGGTGTCAGTGTCACCTCCATGGGGAGGGCAGCCAAGGAAGTGGCCTGACACCTGCCAGGTCACAGGAAGCATGTGAGCCCCTATGACCATCCAGGGTCAGGATTGAGCAGACAGCCCCCGCAACAGCCACCAGACCCAAAGGTCCCATAAAATTCAGCTTGACCCCAAGGCACTAGCACCGAGTGGAGCTGGGCTCTCAGCCCCAGGAGGACAGGGTTGGGTGGGAGGAGAAACGGGAGTGGCCCCATGGCTGGACCCGCGGCCTCCCCTGCTCCATCTCACCCTGTCCTTCGTCTGCAGGTTTTGTTCTGGTCATCGGGCTGGTGACGTTCTACAGAATCGGCCCGTACACCAACCTGTCCTGGTCTTGCTACCTGAACATCGGGGCCTGCCTGCTGGCCACCCTGGCTGCGGCCATGCTCATCTGGAACGTCCTGCACAGGAGGGAGGATTGCATGGCCCCCCGCGTCATCGTCATCAGCCGCTCCCTGACCGCACGCTTCCGCCGCGGGCTGGACAACGACTATGTGGAGTCGCCGTGCTGAGGGCGGCGGGAGGCCGCTCGGGGCTCCATCCACCGCAGGGACCATCTGGGAAGCAGGGCGCTGCCTGCGCGGCTTCCCATGAGAGCACATGTACGACACGCATTCACTACGTTATACACGAACACAGGGCGTGACCACATACCGGCTGCGTCCCAACCCCACCCCCCCAACC